CTGGCGATCAAAGCTTGACATCATAGATCTGAGACTGTTTGGTTCATATTCAGAACCGTCCACTTTTCGGACACTCATGAAAAATTGGGAAAGCAACGGAGATAATTCGGGAGGGGGTATGTTTTGAATACTTCGGGATTCGTTGATTTCTGGAGTTTCGAAAAAGGCTTTCAATACTTTCATGTCATTCCACGTTTTCAGTAGAGTGTTCTTATTTGATTGTTGTTCAATGAATGACCCAATTTCCGTTTGTTGGACCGGAACAAACCTTTGAGTTTGGTTGGGTGTCGTCTGCTTTTGTGGTAGCGAGGACGACTGAGTCATAGTCTGGGGTATTGGCTCTAACCGATCACCTGGCAAGTCAACCTCAATATCACTTCCCTCGATTAAAACTCTATAAAATGTTGCAAATCCCATTGGAACAAGTTCTTGTACTGTGCCCCTACCTTTGCCGTCAATTCGAACAGAATCCCCAATGTTTACGTCAGCCATGTTGTAGTAGGCCTATACTATAGTAGTAGTAGTAGTGCGTAGGAATACGACCTAGTTCCCACGGTGTCGCGCGCTCATTTGCATCTTTATTGCACACGTTCAATATCAATTTTATTGCACCCCTTTATTGCACTGCAGAAGCCTTATATTATATAATAAACCCTTTTAACATAGGTTGTTACAAAGTTCGGGGATAAACCAATATTGGGGTGTGAATGTTTGCTCGGCCAGGGAAAAAAATAACACACCCTCAGGGTGCGAGAGCGTAACTTAGCTAAACACTCCAATCGAGGTGATCATACATGTATACAAGTAGGCACGGAAACTGTACGATGTAACAGAAATACTTTTTTAGTTAAACGGTAATAACTGAAATTCGAACGCCGATGAATAAGTTTGTAAATTGAAACAAAATAAAATATAGCTCTCAACATGTACGAAATTCTCCAGACGGTATAATATCACAACATTAAACACGCCCGAAGGTGGAAAATGGCCCCCTTCTCAAAAATGAGGTGCAGAATGTACATATCGTGTTTGAAAAAAAAAGAAAAAAAAATCTTTTTGTACAATTTTGGAGAGAATTTTTTGGTTATTAAAACATTTTGATGTTGTTTTCCACATATAATAATTCGTCATATATTTCATAATTTGATTTTTTTTCTCAAAATGTCCGTCATCTCAAAACATAGGTGCAGAATGTGTGCGTCAATGCAACCAGGCATGTAAAATGGTCGCCTCCCCTGTGTAATATCGGACCAGTACGGCTAGTGGCCGGCATGAGGTACAAAATTGGCGCCATCTCAACTATTCATAAAGTTAACGTTACGGCTAGTATACATACAGCAATTTGATTAACTACCTGTACATGTGTTTACAATCGGACAATTAACCCGTATTGAGTGCATTTTGATAACGTATGTTTACACTAACATGTATAGACAAGTCGCTCAGCACAGTAAACTAGTATAGACCTGTGGTGTCAACGCATATGTGACGGGTATGGTCAGGTACGGGTAATTAACTAGCGGTTTTTATACATTGAAGCAGGGACGTATAATATACTGTCCCTGATTGAAGTCGTCACAAGCACATTTCAATCTAATAATCAAACCAATCAATGTGAGGCTTTGTTAGAACTATGCTACGCTCATGTAATACCATCGAAAGGTAACAGGGGGAATATATGTTCAATTTGAAGACTGTAAACGTAAAGTTCTTGAAGTTTTTAACCATGGAATTAAATCATCATCTATTCAAATCAATGTCAAATACTTAGAAAATATCGAGGAATGGCGAGTAGAATATTTAAAAACGGATCAATGGATACAACGTGTCGATTTGATGATACAAAAACTAATAAAATTAGAACATCTATTCAGCAACTTTTGAAACAAAATTTCGACTTACATTTGCAAAAACTAGAACAGTTACAAACGGACATCAAGATGTTATTGGTAACGAGGGAAAACTCTCGCTATATGAATGAACAATTAATTAATTTAAAAATCGACAAATAACCAAACACGACTTATTCCGGACACTTTAGGTATACGTGTCCTGGGACGCTTTAGGTATACGTGTCCTGGGACACTTTAGGTATATACGTGTCCTGGGACACTTTAGGTATATACGTGTCCTGGGACAATTTAGATATACGTGTCCTGGGGCACTTTAGGTATATACGTGTCCTGGGACACTTTAGGTATACGTGTCCTGGGACGCTTTAGGTATACGTGTCCTGGGACACTTTAGGTATATACGTGTCCTGGGACACTTTAGGTATACGTGTCCTGGGACACTTTAGGTATACGTGTCCTGGGACACTTTAGGTATACGTGTCCTGGGACACTTTAGGTATACGTGTCCTGGGACACTTTAGGTATACGTGTCCTGGGACACTTTAGGTATACGTGTCCTGGGACACTTTAGGTATACGTGTCCTGGGACACTTTAGGTATACGTGTCCTGGGACACTTTAGGTATACGTGTCCTGGGACACTTTAGGTATACGTGTCCTGGGACACTTTAGGTATACGTGTCCTGGGACACTTTAGGTATACGTGTCCTGGGACACTTTAGGTATACGTGTCCTGGGACACTTTAGGTATACGTGTCCTGGGACACTTTAGGTATACGTGTCCTGGGACACTTTAGGTATACGTGTCCTGGGACACTTTAGGTATACGTGTCCTGGGACACTTTAGGTATACGTGTCCTGGGACACTTTAGGTATACGTGTCCTGGGACACTTTAGGTATACGTGTCCTGGGACACTTTAGGTATACGTGTCCTGGGACACTTTAGGTATACGTGTCCTGGGACACTTTAGGTATACGTGTCCTAGGACGCTTTAGGTATACGTGTCCTGGGACACTTTAGGTATATACGTGTCCTGGGACACTTTAGGTATACGTGTCCTGGGACACTTTAGGTATACGTGTCCTGGGACACTTTAGGTATACGTGTCCTGGGACACTTTAGGTATACGTGTCCTGGGACACTTTAGGTATACGTGTCCTGGGACACTTTAGGTATACGTGTCCTGGGACACTTTAGGTATACGTGTCCTGGGACACTTTAGGTATACGTGTCCTGGGACACTTTAGGTATATACGTGTCCTGGGACACTTTAGGTATACGTGTCCTGGGACACTTTAGGTATACGTGTCCTGGGACACTTTAGGTATACGTGTCCTGGGACACTTTAGGTATACGTGTCCTGGGACACTTTAGGTATACGTGTCCTGGGACACTTTAGGTATACGTGTCCTGGGACACTTTAGGTATACGTGTCCTGGGACACTTTAGGTATACGTGTCCTGGGACACTTTAGGTATACGTGTCCTGGGACACTTTAGGTATACGTGTCCTGGGACACTTTAGGTATACGTGTCCTGGGACACTTTAGGTATACGTGTCCTGGGACACTTTAGGTATACGTGTCCTGGGACGCTTTAGGTATACGTGTCCTGGGACACTTTAGGTATATACGTGTCCTGGGACACTTTAGGTATACGTGTCCTGGGACACTTTAGGTATACGTGTCCTGGGACACTTTAGGTATACGTGTCCTGGGACACTTTAGGTATACGTGTCCTGGGACACTTTAGGTATACGTGTCCTGGGACACTTTAGGTATACGTGTCCTGGGACACTTTAGGTATACGTGTCCTGGGACACTTTAGGTATACGTGTCCTGGGACACTTTAGGTATACGTGTCCTGGGACACTTTAGGTATACGTGTCCTGGGACACTTTAGGTATACGTGTCCTGGGACACTTTAGGTATACGTGTCCTGGGACACTTTAGGTATACGTGTCCTGGGACACTTTAGGTATACGTGTCCTGGGACACTTTAGGTATACGTGTCCTGGGACACTTTAGGTATACGTGTCCTGGGACACTTTAGGTATACGTGTCCTGGGACACTT